TGCAAGTTCAATTCCTCCTTCTGGCAAAAATGGCTTTTATTATGAGGGCTTCTCTTTATTTGTACGTTTTTCCATTCCCACTGGTAAAGAAAGGCACGATTCTCCTTCCTGGCCCAAACCTCCTTCACTGGAGAGTGGCTACTGTGCGGGGCTTGGGGTGGCTGCGAGTCTCTGCAGTGAAGATGGGGGAAGAAGTGGGCAAAGGGTGTCACACACCTCTGGTTGCTGAAGCTGATCAGTCATTCCTGTTTCATATGTGTGACACTAGGATGGCACGACAGGATCGCAGCATTCCTTATATTTGAAATAGGTGCTACTCAGAGTGCTTAAACTTTTCTTTTTTTTTTTTAGTTCAAGATTCATATGTGCTGGAAGGCAGGTAATTCCATATTGTTTGGTAAGATTTTTTGGCCATTTGTGTTAGCATTCAGCAAATTGTATGTCTTATGTAGAAAACCATGGCGGGGGAAAAAAAAAAAACAAAACACTTCATAACAGTTTTAGTGCTCTGGCTGATTCTTCTCACAGCGACCCTGCAAATGTTCAGTATTTTTACTGCAGCCCCAGCTCCTGCAGTGAGCTGCTTACAGCAGAAACTTCCTGGTTTAAATGTCAGATACCTAGTAAGTAACTAGAGATAGCATGTAACAGGTGAAGAAAAGAAGATGCAGTAAGGATGTTGTAACGCCCACGCCGAAACAGGGAGAGGAACCTGAGCCCTGCAGCTGCAACGTGAAAGCCGTGCTCAGAGAGCAGGAAGGTGCAAAGGCTGAGATCCCAGTGAGAAGCTGCCATTCGACATCTTGCAAGTGCGTTTGCTGGAGTGAAATGGACCTTGAAACTACTCTTTTCTCTGTAGTAAAACTGAGTTATCTCTTCAGTTAGCTGTTTAGTATTTACACACTATTCCCAATATAAAAAGGATTATATTGATGTATGTTAGTTGCGCATAGAAAGGGAGTTACTGTCAGGTAACATATCTTTGGACTACAGCTGCTTTTTAATTAATGTCCTGTGGATATATTACACTACTTATAGTTCATGGAAGAGAGAGGCAGCTTTACACTTATTTCTTAAAAATGAGCTGCTCTTCGTTTCTCCTATTTACTGTGGAGTGCTGCATGTGCAGACAGTGGCTGCAGAGCATTTGACACAGGCTTTTTCCCTAGTGTTAAATTGCTGACGTGTCAATACTATAAGACTTCTTTCAGTCGGTGTTCTTATTAAGAATATTTATTTCAATAAGTAAACTCATATCTTTAAATGAAATCTAATACTGGTGCCGGTATCAGTATGAAGATTATGCAAAGCTGGCAGAGAATATTGAGGCGTATTTGGGTAGCGTTGAGGGGAGGAGGAGAAGGAGCTTCAAAAATAAACCGAAAGTCATGCTGAGAAATCAGACTTGGTAAAAGTAGGACCTGGCCAAAGAAGGTAGGATGTGGAGCAGAGAAGGTTAGAATTTAGGTTAGTGGAAGCTAAAAAACAAGTGATTCACGCAGATAGAATGGTAGCTGCTGAAAGATTTGGATGTCTGCAATGCTGTATGTTTTCTCTTGCAGAAGGACGAAATGAAAGCTGATCTACTATTTTTCCCCCCAAATATTTAGACACATAATTGTAAACAGTTCTGCTTTTTAAACCATCTGGAAATACATTTAAAAATATCCTTATACTTCCTCCCTCAAAATGTACAAAGTCTTCTAAGAATGATGAGGAGTACTCCAGCCACGTTAAACAAACCAAAAAAACCACCAGCATCAACAAAAAACAACTAGTACCCTTTTATTTGCAAATAATAGTCTGCTAGCAGCTAAATATTTTTCTTATACTGTGACTTCTGAAATTCTTAGAATTGAATTTCCTTTCCCTTCTTTATGGAGTCCTTAGACTTGATAGGACTTTGGTTATCAAGGAGGTGAGGGAGCTGCCTTTCCCAGTGGAGTTTCTGGTTGCAGGAGCCTTTTCTGAAGTCAGAGAACCTGTCCTGCTCATTTCCCAGAGCTGTTTTCTGTCTTCAATCGTGTGTCTTGTGGTAACTTCAGGCACACGATTTTGAGGCTAATAGCTGCAAAAGGTGATGTAGGTCACCAGTACCCTGGAAAGGGCTCTGTTCCTAACCTGGAAGGCTGGGCATGGTGTTTTGGGAGGCACAGGCACAGAACATTCTACCCTTGTGGAGCTGAAAAAGTGCCTTTCGTCTTTGTTTTTACAGATCTCAGCAGCAGGTTTTACAAAAAGATTCTAGTCTGAGCTTTTGGACTCATTAGTCTCTCTGATGAACGTCATGTTCATAGAGGGTAGCTGCTTTCACCAAATTTCGCCAGTTGGGTCCAGCTCTTGTGTTTGAGGGTAGCCTGACTACATCCGTCTTCCTGTATCCAGGAAATGTAAAGGTTCATGCCTGAATCATTAATGTTCTGGTAAGTGTGTTGATTTACCTAATGGGTAATTATCCTGTGTAACGGCCTCTCTTGAGACCGAGTCGTTTCAGGGTCAGCAGTAGCCAACCTTAACCCTTGAGCAACAGGAGAATTTACCTTTGCTAACGTGGTAAAGAGGCTTTCGATCATCCTTGGCGAATGAGACCATTGTACTAAGGCTTCTCTTATTAAAATTCTTTCAACTCTAGCAGATGCAGCAATATTGGGAAATTTTAAGGAAAGTAGGAATTCCCCTTCTCCCTGTTGTTGTTTTAAAAGCTTCATCCAGACTTGAGTTGAGTAGAAAAACTAATTGCTTTTCATTTTAAAACTAGAAGCAGCTCACAGGGGATCTAATTAAAATTCCAGTGTCTGGAAGGAAATGTGCCATATAAATCCGAAAAAGATGTTGCTTAAATATTAGTAATATCTTTGTACCAGATTGTGCAGGCGCAGAAGAGTTAGAACACCCACACAGGTAATTTCAAAGTTTTAAAACTGTCATTACCCAATTTCTTGAGTTATTCTGAGTCGTATTTTGATCGTAAGCTGGAAAGTTTACAAAAGATTGATTAAAAATAAAAAAGGCAATGACAGCTCATTGCATGTTCGTGACAGTGTTGAGCAAAGGGCTCCTTATTGGGTAAGGTCACCTTCACATAGCTGGGTTCATCTCCAGGGAAGCTTGAGAAATGGCATGAAGACCGAGGTTCCCACCAGAACTGGTTTAGTTCCTTGTGTTGTTGTTGAGATATTCAGTGCCGCTAAAGGGCCTCACTACTACATTTCCTTTGGATCTAAAATGCTCCTTAAGCTTTCTGTTCTGCTATCAAGTAAATGGTGGCAACCCAAAGCTACGTACTGCTACCAGCACATGTGCTGCCTGTGCACTCGCAGCTGTCTCAGCTTTCTTCCATCTTTCTTGCAAATTTGCAGTGCCACCTAGACTGCAAAGCCACCCAGTTGTGTTGTAATGCAAAAGTAGTATAAAGGCCGTGTTTTTCCACTGTGACCAGAGGAATTAAAATGTGTGTAAAGTCAATAAATAAAGCAGCAAAAATCACAGATTTTTGACACCTCTCCTATGTCCCCAGAGCTCTCTACCCAGGACATGATAGGATGGTTAGATGGTATTTGGTTTAGGCTGAAAATTTGCACTGTGTCATATCACACTCTGGACTTGTTAATTTTTAATGCGTAATAGGGGAAAAAAAAAAAGAAAACCAACTCAAAGGAGACCAAACCTGTTGCTCAAACCCTTTGTTTTTAATCCAGCTTGCTCTTGGTGAAGCAGATTGTGGAGTGGTCTGGATTTCTCTCGCCCCTCTGGTTCCGTCATCGCCCCGGGACAGGTGGTAGCTCAGCCCGGGGCTGCTGAGATCTCCCCCAGCTGCTCTTTCCCCTGCAGCCCCACAGCCAGATGGAGCTCGCTGGCTGCTGCAGCCCCTGCCCTCTGCTTCCCTGCCCGCGTGGCTCCGCAGGGCCGCGGGGAGAAGGAAAAGGTTGGGACATGGTGCAGGAGGTTGCACAGGAACTACTCGAATAGCCAAAGCGCGAGTGGAAGTTGCCCTCAGCTGTGTGCTGTGTGTATATTCAGTTTCTGCTTAGCCTGATAATCAAGGTGTGTGATTAATTAGTGTCAAAATCAATGCAGCATAAGCACAGGCTTGTGCACATTGCAGTGGAACGTGCACCCAGCGTTGGCTTCCTTTGGGGAGCCCGGCGCCTGGGGCAAGTCCTCGGCAGGTGACTCATCACTGAGGAGCTTTCGCTTCTCACAAATCCTCATTTTTACCTTAGTGCTCATGTTTGACATGACTTTAAAAATAAATTCCTTTTAAATGGGATCGAAATTTGAAGATACAGAGTTGAAAGAATCCTGCAATACATTGCTTCTCCAGTATCCCTTTGTTGTCTTGTTTATTTTAATGTTATTTTACTCTCTGAGCTCAGAGAAATTGCTTCTGACACGTGTATTCTAGGTATGGTTTTCTTTGTGCTTGTACTAAGGATCAGAAAGAGCAAACCACTTAAGAATATGTCCAATAGTAAGAGCTCATTGACATAAAGCTTCTAATTCATCTTATGAATTTCAAAGGTTTCTGCACTTATTCTCTGAATGATTCTGACTTTCAGAAAGGCTTTCTATGGAGTGGTTGCATCTTGCTTTGAAATAAAATGCATTGTAACACACCACTTACCAACCATATGTATACACTAAACATGAGAAAGCCTGGAGAGGAGATTCTTGTGCTGAGTGAGAATAAAAATGTTACTTTTTTCTCATTTTATTCACTGGAATATTTGTTTTCATGGGAGAAGAATTATTTTAGAATATTGGTAGTTAGAGTGAATGCTAATGCCTTGTGGCATGATCATCTTAGATCTGTGTGTAATTCTTACATTATCATGTGCAGTTCCTTTGGCATGTCCTATTTCTGCAGTGAGTTCTGCATTCAGCATTGATAAACATTGTGAGAGAAGTAGAGAGATACTTTCTAGCTCATTATTCCTGAAAATGTCATCAATGTTATTTCTAAATCAAGTTTTCATTGAGAAGTGCTAAAAAAAAGTTGTATATAAGAATTACTGAAAAATATTAAGAGAATAGATTGTGTATAGGTGGGCTTTCCATTTTGGATTATTTTAAAAGGAGAGAAAATGGTGCTTCCACATCGGTCAAAAAATCTCTTTAACAAATAAGTGCTCAAATGATCTCTATATTGTCAATTATTTATGACTACAACCCAAAGCATTTCTGCACAAGGAAAAGCTACTTATCAGTTTGTTGCAAATGAAATGTTTTCTTTCTCAAACAGGTAGCAGTCCTTTGGACAGTCCCAGGAACTTCTCTCCAAATGCACCTGCTCATTTTTCCTTTGTTCCTGCCCGAAGGTAAGTCAGTGCGTGTTTTCCCTGGATTGGCAAGCACATAGCTCATGTATTTTTATTCAAGAGTTGGCTACTGGTTAGGAGTTTGGGGATTCTCTTTCATCATGAGCCTAATCTTTAGGCTTAGGGCTGAAAATCTTATTGGGTATTCCTGTAACCCCCCTTGGTCCCAGTTACTTTCTCTGACATTTCCAGATTTATTTTATTTGCTTTAGTTCAGGTCTTGGCATCACCCAGAAGGTACCAGGTGGCTTTCAGACACAGAAGAAAGTCAAGGAATTACACTGATGCAGACAGCCTAGGGAAGCCCCTCCTGGGAGCATGGCATGTGGCAGGAAGAACGGCCGTGACTGGGGTACCTGCATCTCTGTGGGATCCTCACATTCACTGGGAGGATGGTGGTTTTGATTTGCTGCAGTCTCCCTGGCTGAAAGGAGTTATCTGGTGATCAAGGAAAGGGAGAATGTGCTCCTTCTGAGAGGAAGGAAGTTTTCTGAACATGAAAGATTTAGCTTGAGGACTAGATAGAAAACACGTCTCAAAACCGAGAAGAAGAAAGGTTTGGAAACAGGCAAGTTCAGGAATAGGAGAGAGAAGCTGAAGTTAACCCCTGTATTTGAATGGCAGGTAAATGCTGGAGTGTTTCTCCAGTTGAGTGATTTGCTGGAAAACCTGGTCTCTCTGAGTACTGTTTGAAGCAGCCTTTAGCCTTTATTTCTCATGGAAGAACAAACTATAATATCATGTGAAATATGACAGACAGGCTATGTTTGCTCCTGTTGCCTTGGAGAGAAAAATGAATTTTTTAGCTGCTGGTGAAGCAATTCAAGTGTACTCAGTGTATCCACCTTTATTTTTAATGAGGTATCTGAGCCTCATCTGGGTCTACTCAAGACATACTACTGAAATCAACTGAATGTGAACCAGTTTTCACAGCATTTTATGTTCTGGATCCTGGAATGCAGGGGGAAATGTGCAGCTGAAACCATTTTCAAAACTTGTGTCATTTGTTGGCTATTTCAGTTGTTTTACTACTATTCTTTTACGAATTTTCATGTAAAAATTAAATGCTACAATAATAAAACTTCATAGAGCCCATTTTCATACTTCTTTACTTACCTAATTTTAAAAGAAATGAATCAAAGATTAAATCTACCCTTTCAAACACTGCAGCTCATTCTATACTGTTTGTGTTGTTCTGTATACCTTTTATGTCTTCGAAATGAATGTTTAAGCATAGAAATAAGTTTCCCAAACAAGCTGTTTTTCACTCGCATTACATCCTGGAGATTACTGATCATAGTAGTACCAATGCATATTTATTGGATTATCAAATAGCTGTATCAGAATAACTTCTGCATGATGATATTAAGTAATTGAAAATATTGTGCTCTGTCATCCCAGGGAAATGGAGATTGCATTGTGCCATTTTGGTCTGTGTTGTCCTAGTCTTAGAGATGATTTTACCTGATTTATTCTCCTTGCCATCCTGGAAATGATTGGTTGCTGTTTTTCTGCCTTTTAAAGTAATTTCTTCAGTTATTATCCTGTTTGAACATCATTTGTGGTTCTCATTTGTTTAGTGTGGCCCTGTGACGAGCTGGTTCTCGGAACAGAATGGGAAACACATTTGGAAAACACATTTTACTTTAAAGCCAATTTCACTACAAACCATTGCAGGTCTGCTCTTAGTCCATGTTGTGATTAATCATAGATCACTTGCTAGACAGACTTTCAGTGATGGTGTCATATCTACAAAATTCTTCTCTGTAAAAGAAAATGCATGATTCGTCCTGCCCCTACTCAGTAAGAGGAATGACAGTAATAGAAGATGAGTTGTTTGCTGCAGTGACAAGTGCTGCTTTCACTTCCCTCTCCCTTACTGTCCCTGTACAATTTTTTTCCATACAGCCACGGACACAGAGCAGACAGGTAACGTGCATTGAGCTGCTGGTGTGTGTGTGTGTGGGGGGGAACTCTGCTTTTGCACGTGGGCACTAGCCTCTGTCCCTAACAAATTTGTGCTGTAATAACCCCATTTAGGCATTGAGCTTTTATTCTTTGGTGATGAAAATGAGAAATCTTTGCATTTTGTTTTAAAATGCTTAGTAGGCTACGCTCTGCAGAAGGTGCTGTGTTCTTCTGGCCCCTTCTTGTTTTGAAATTGGGCTAGTGTTCATTGAATAGTATTATATTTGCCTTAAAAATACTTCCTTAAATCTCTTATTAAAATGTCATTTTGATGACAAAATGAATTACTCCCACATGATTTTGGTGTGCTAGCAGAGGTTGTTTGAAAACAAATGACCTAAAAATTTCTTTCACAGTATCTTTTCTTAAAGCATTATTGCATAAGATCTCTCTAAAAGTATGTTGTTAACCAAACACTGAAATAATTTTGAAATGTTTAGCATACCTGAAAGAGAATTTTTTTAAGGACTTTCTACCAGTGACTTTGCTTTGAAAGATTTCAACTCTTGTCCCACTTCTCTGTGCTGGATATAGTGCTAATATTCATTGCCTTTACTGCTTAGCACATTGCTTGCCCAGATTGCATCAGTGGAAAATAGACAGACTAAGGATGGAAAAGTCATTTTCTATGTGAGAAGGATTATTTTTTTAACATCACTATCGAAATACAGAAGTAGTTTCAATACACAATTTAGACTACACAGACACACATACACAAAAGGCTTAGGCTTTCCTTTTACAGAAAAAAGTAGTAATTTTTGTATCTCAGTTTACTGTTTTGCAAGATACAAACCTGTAGTCATACCATGGAACTAGAGTTCTGGTACTGGTACCAGAACTGGTACGAGGTACTGGCATTTCATCCAGACAGTGAGCAAAGATCTCTGTTGTTGAAGGTTGGTATTCCTTCACGGACCACATGATGCAGCGACTTGGTAGTGTTGACACTTCCTGCTTTTAGGGGCTTAGGAAAGGAATGGGATCTCTTCAGGATTTTTTTTGAGATCATGCTTTTAGATGTGTTTGTCTTGCCAAAGAAAATATCATCTGTGGCTAAATGGGGTTTAGCTATAAAGTCTGCATGCAATAGAAATCTACTTCACAGCTTCAATATTTTTTATGAACGTAGCATGAGCTTCTTTAAAAACTCTCTTATATAATATTCTTCTAGTATAAAGTAGTGGGATTATTTCCCTCTTGATCTAAGTTAGATAGCAAAGTGGAGGAGCATGTGTCAGTACCTGACAGTAAAATGAATTAGCTCTGGAAAATAAAGCAACATGTGCTTCTGTCTGAACGTGCACTGCGTTCAGATGTGAGGCCTTAGGCATGCGGATAGTAGGATAAGAAAAGATATTGTGAAAATAAGTTGTGTGTGTTGTAAACTCTAAGCACTGTTTTAGACCTGTACCAAGAACTACCAAACATCCTATTTTCTCATGTGGTTACATAAATGTACTGTACCTCCTACATATGTTAAAAAAAAAAAAAAGTCTTTGCAAAGTAAGTTAGAAGTTCTAACTCTTCCTGGTTAGCTTTACTTTATGATCTGTTACTGATGATTTGCCTTAATAAAACAAACAACCAAATGTAAACTGATAGGAAAAAAGACTAACATTTATCCCAGCATAGAACAGGATACATTGGTCTGTTGGTGAGACAAAATGCAGGTGAGATTGCAATGAAATCAGAGGCAGAAAAAGACTGTGCTGGATTAGTTCAATTTCCTTCCTCCCTGAGATGTTTTTGATGGGGGAAGAAGAGGATTTCAAGGAGAGAAATATTGATTCTCCTCAAAACACTTGCACAGTTCATCTGCTTTGGCTTCGGTAAAACAAGTCCACCTTTTCTGCAATACCTCCTGCGTGTTTTTGCTGTTTTCCCTGAGGTTATGTTTTGTTCTAAGTCCTTTTGATATGCTCATTATCTCCAGGAAAGAAAAAAGTTTTCCTTGGCTAATAATAGCAAATAACTACTAGTATTATAGTGATTGGAGGGCAAAGAGACCTGAGGTGTTATTTCTATCTCCTTTCTATTTCGAGAGGACATATTTGCTCTGTGCAGCACTGCCATAGCAGCTTGAATTCCCCACTGTTACCAGTGTCACTATAGGCAGAAGGCATTTAGACTCAGGAAAAAAAAGGAGTCCTCTTTTAGTTCCTTCTTGATCTGATAGGATTTTTCCCTCCCTCATTTTTAAACATTACTTAGAAGTTAAGCAACTGTGTAAGTAATGGTCCTATGCATGTCTGTTTGAAAGAAGTCTAAAATAAACTGATCACATTTGTCTGTCTTGCAACTTCATTTTTTTTTGTGCCAAGCATCTACCTTTTTTGCAAGCCACTTACCTATTGCAGGAATTTGATGTCCATTTGCTTTGATTTTTTTTTTTCAAGGTCACTTAATTTTACTCCTAAAAACTTGCCTTGTTTGCTTTTTCACAAAATTCATTGCAAATAGGATGACTGGTTTGCCTAAATATCTTGAGGCGTTTAATCAAAATGTGAGATTAGAGGATTTGGGGGAAGAATTTCTCATTTTGCCCAAATATTAGCCATAATAGTAATTTCTTCTGCCTCTTGTCTCTAGGACGGATGGGCGTCGCTGGTCCTTGGCCTCTCTCCCTTCATCTGGATATGGAACAAACACTCCCAGTTCAACCGTTTCAGTAAGTGGCACAGATTTTTCCAAACAATTCAGATTGTACAAACACACCCTAACAAATCAGCTTCTGATTCTTTACTAAAATACCTGATCTTTCTTCATTGTTTTGCTAACATTTTTTAAAGATACTAATTATTTTAAAAATTATTTTCATTGTTGATTGTGCTGCTTTTTCCTCCATTTCCCAGCTCCTACCATCTTGCACTTTGCCTTTAGCATTGGTGAAATCCCAGTGCAGCACGTGGCTCGACTGCTCAGTTGAGAGACACCATGTGTCAGAAATAACAGGACTCTCAGAGACGGAGTAAATAGCTGCCAACAAACACAGATTTTTGTATATCTGGGCACTGACATTCTTGTCTGCCTTCGAGTTGTTAGTGTGAAGGCCTCTGCTAGCATGAGGGAAAACTGATAACATGTATCTGTTACTTAACTCTAGTCATTTGAACCTCCTAACAAAGCTTTAATTTCACACATGTGATTTTAAAGGCTGGCTGCAGTTTACCTGCATTCTAGTGTACTTCCAAAAGGCTAATATGTCATTAATCTCAGTAAGGCAGCAGCACTCTTTTAACCCCTATAACTCTCTGAAACTTCATACAGTGAATCTTCTTTTTTAGTTAATGTGAAATACGTACTGTGATTATCCACATAACTGTGTTATGGGAACATTTAGTAATGTTACAAAGCCAAGCATTCAAAGAATAGAAATGTTAGGATTTAAGGATATTGTGCAGATTTAATTCAACACACTTCTATGTGTCACTGTTTTTAATTGTGTGGTCCCATATCTGTGCTTCTTCTTCTACTGAGTATTTTTTTTCATATTTACTATTGAGAGTACATTCTTAATAACTAACACCAGCATTTAATTAGCAGCTGGTGCTCTACAGTTCTTACTCTGAAATGCAGAATCTTTCTCATTCTTGTGGGCTGTTCTGTTAAATTCATCTGTAAACTTTCTAGTGCTTCTCAAATAAAATTTATCTTTCTTTGGGAGATGAGAGCGCTAAATTCAGTGTGTACATTTATGAGGAGAAGCAATTTGAGTCAAAAATTTGCACTGATTTTAGGTGTGAGTTGGTATGATTAGAGTCTGTGCAGTCTTTGTATCATCTATATTGTTTCATATGTTTAGACATGTTCCTGAGACTGTAGTTTGCATGAATTCTGCAGTCTCTTTTTTTTTCATTTTGACTTGAAATCTGCTAAACTAGGTGTATCCAAATTTGTCAAGGGAGTAAGAAGCCAGGTGACCTGATTTCAGACTCCTGTATGAGAAATGTGTGTGTGAAGTGAGGAGAGAAGTTCATTAGCCACATGCAGAAGGTCCTCTTGGTTTCGCTGCCAAGCAATATTATATATTAAAGTATGTGAGAGCAACCATTTAAAAGGAGCTCTGTTTTTGCCCTTATAGTCTTAAGTTAAATCCTTATAGGCATATGGCACGGCCAAGTTGTCTTCTCTGTACAATAGAAACTTGGAGACTATCTCTGTTCAAGTTAGATAATGGAGAACAGTCAATTGAATGGAGTAATGTATAATTATCTTTAAACATTGAATTTGCTATTTATTTTCTAGATTCAGAGCCTTCTAGACTCTACTACTGTAGTACTAGCTTTTACTTGAGATGAGCTGGCTAATTCTGTGTCGGTAATTAAGACACCAGGGGGATGTTTGTATTAATCTACTGCGAAGATTGAATTCTGTGATGTGATTACTTAAAAATCAATAATGCAGAAGTGCTTTGCTCTCCTGCTGCTTCAGTGGAAGGCTGATGCCTTAAGGCGGCTAGAGAAGCCCTTGGCAGAGGAAAGGCTGTTTCTCCTCACAGTCTGTATCATCAGGGTTTTCCTTAATTATTCCCTGGAATTACCTACTTTATGATCTGATTACTACTAAGGAGAGAAAGCTGAAGGAGGATTTTGGTGGGTCATCCATAAATTGGCTAGTACTTCGTTGTTTCCCCAGTGATTTTACTGTTGGAAGGCAAAAGGGTTTTGAGGCTTTTTCTAGAATGTCAATCTTCTCCTTCTAACTTGATGTTAGTAACTTGGTATGTGCCAGCTACCCTTAATGTCATATCTTGAATTTAATTTTGGTTTGAGTAAGAGGTATATTAGTTATGTCAACGCTTGAGTACCTGTTACTGCAGTGCTTTGTAAGACAATGTTTTTAGTACTTTTTGTC